ATTTACGAAAGATTCTATAAATCTTCTCCATTTATATATAAATGAAAGTATATTATAAATTTACATCATAATTATCTATTATTTTCAGACCTAAATTTGGTTTTATGATCCCAATAAAATTACTATTCAAAAAAACATTACTGAAGGTAAATTCAACCAATTTTTAAGTAAAAGCCTTTAGATACACATATTTTGCAATATAATGAGTATAGAGTTATCTTGAATTTCAAAAAAATCAACTTATTAGGAATGGAATATAATTATAATTACCATAAATATTTTGAATAAAATGTATCTTTATTCTAAGAATAAGGTTTAAAAAAAGATATCCTTCTTGAATATGTTCATAAGCTTCAAAAAATATAGTTATATCTCCACCTTATTAAAAATCGTAGTACCTTTTCCCATTTGTAATTTTTGATTGTCTTTCATTTGATGCTGTATCTATAAATGTACATGTAGGTGTGATAGAATCTAATGGACAAAAGAATATTAATAAGACGGTAAGGTGGTAACATTTAGAAGACATTAAGTTAATATTTAAAATAATATAATAATGTATTAAAATTTATCTTCCTACCGGACTTAAGAACTGCAAACTTTATAATTAACTTTTCCTAATTCATACTTAATATTTTTTTTTTAATAGTTAATCGTTTTTAAGTTTTATCATATAGGTCTAAAAAAAAGGAATGGCAAGTAAATTAAATATGACTGCTGGAAGGAAAAACAAAATGTAATGACGGTAATCCAAAAAATATTGGCCATATAAAAATATTTATGAATCAAAGAACGACTGAAAGATTAAATTTTAAGATATTCTTTAGCATTTAAAAAGAATTTCATTTTTCGAAATTATTAAAACAGAAATAATTCAACGACAGAAACCCGAAATGAATAGGAAAGAAGGTTCAAAGGTGCAAACTGATGGTCGAAATTTGGAATCGAGATGAAGCCTGAGAAATTGGGTAGGCTTCCTGTATAGCCATTGAGGAGGTATCTACTTCTTGACCTAAGAAATGAGAACAGGGGAATTGTTAATGCGTCAGTTCCTTGGAGTTATAGAAACCTCCATAATATTTGATAGAATCAGGACAGGTTATATTTAGGAGCAGGGTACAGTCAGTCGCTTTGATCTCTTTACGATGGATCGGTAAGACTGAATCAGTTGTTCTAGAACTTTTTTCAGAAATTGTTATTATAATGTAAGAAACTTAGTACGTCATCAATGATGCTGATCCGAGGGTGTTATTGAAGTCATAAAAACTTGTAATTATAAAGGATTCCATATCTGTGATCTAATGTAATATAAATTTTATTATTGATTTTGAGAAGCTGGCAATAATTTATCAGAAATACACTTTACTTTGATAAAAGGGAAAAATTAACGTTTATGTGATTGATTAATCAAAAAAATATATCGTAGCTACTTTGATGATAGACGCTTTGATTCAAGACTAAAAAGGAGATATCATTGAGTAGTAAAAAATATAATATTATTAAGACTACTGTGATTGGAAACTAACGATTTATAACAAAATATTCGAGTTTAATTTAAAGAAAATGATGTCACCTTTAAGATAGACTTATGCAAAATATATTATTGACCTAATTAAATAAAAAGAAATGAAACCTAATAACATGTATGAATATTAGAAGATTTGTATTAATTCATATTATTTTGGAATAAATTACATTAAACTGGATAGCGTAATCAACAAAGAATTATCAGATATTATCTGGAAATCTAGATCTTCTATTTTCAACAATCATAAATGCCTAAGTAGTTCTAGTCTTATTCTTGATATCCTAACATTTTAATCAAATTTCCTATAAGGGCTAAACAACTAAATTGAATAATACGAATAATAATTACATATTTGAGATTGAATACTATTTTTTGTATATGCCTTTTTATGAACAAAATAAATTATTACATCCTTACATTTTATTTTTAGAAAAGTTTCTGCTGCATGAAAGTAGTTAAAATAAGGAAAATTTATAGCACATGCTGCTAAGCTGCTTCCAATTTTTATTTAATTTAAAGAAATTGTTTATTAGTATTTAAAATATTTAAGCACAAAAATTTGCTAATTTGCACTTTTTGCCTGATAAAATTGCAAATCGTTCTGAATAAAGGGATTCACAATTATCGTTTCTTATATTTATTCGATTTTATAATATTAGTTAAGAATACTTTTAGATTTGAATTTCTTGCTATTAACTTGAATATTTATTTCAGAAAGAAGGACAAAAATAAAATCATCAGTTTAATCCTTTATTATATATCTAAATGAATTTTTCAAAATACTCTCTATTAAGTTTAGCAAATCAAATTCCATTTGTACCAATATTTTTCTAAACAAAATATTTCATTTTTCGTAACTAATCGAAATTTTGGAAAATAATTAAATTTTAAAATTTAATTGAGCTTTATCGAAGCAAATTCTATTTAAAAGAATTCTGTATCAATAATTTTTGATTTTTAGAAATAAGTAGCAACAAATGAAGTTATCCATAAATTTGTCTCCAGCATGAATCTTAATTGTGTAAAGTTTAGACTATATCTAATTTTATGTAAAAGTTTAACATGAAAGTGACAATTGTTTTTGATTATTGAAGTATTCCATAAGTATTCAGCTTTTTCTTATATAAATTATTAGTAATTTTTTCAGAATATTTCAAACTTCTGATTAGCAACAAACAATTCTATTTTATATTATTATCCCACCATTTAATTATCTTATTAAAGATTCAAATATTCAAATTAACATATTATAAATTTTCTTAAAAATTTGACTGCATTATTAAGAAATGTATTTCTGTTGGAAGGAGGTAAAATTAGAACTTAAAAACATAATAATTATTTAATTATTTCAAAAAAGTCTTTATATTTATATATTTTTTTTATTATTTTCATAACAATTCTTACAAAATTCATGTTATTTTCTAACTGTTGTCCCATAACGTTAAGTCCAGTTTTATATTACTCGAAAAGATACTTAAAATGAATTTCGATTTCAAATAATTAATTTATTCAAATATCTTTAAGTTTATAAATTCAAATTTTTTCACAACCTATAATATTAGCAATTTATAGCTATACTTGACTTTAGAAATAATATTAATAGCAAAACACAATCAAAGTGCATTTTATTTACATTAGTTGTTATAATTACTCAAAACAAAATTATTTTATTTAATCAGATTTCATCGATAGTTTATTTGTGATTAGAAGCTAATTTCTGCAGGCAGACCTTCCGCAGGATCCATAAATTGGGAGATAGACTTAATTAAATGAGCGAGATATTGGTTTCAGCATTATGTACACTAGAAATGTCCTTGCATTTCGATCTCTTTAGTATTTCCTTTAGTTTTGTGGGATATCTTGCTAAAATTAAACTTTCATTTGATTATAATTTTGGATTTTAAAATTAAAATTGATGATAATGGATTAGAATAATTATTTCATTGTTAAGTATTTATATTTTTATTTAAAATTCTCATTTAACATGAATTTCACATAAAAATCTTTAAGAGTTTTGTAGAAGAAGCAAGACTTTAAATAAAAAAATGACTATTCCTTAGAAAATATGATTTGTTAATTATTTATTCTTTTAGAAGTTTGTTTGTAAGTAGTTAATTTATAAATGAGATTGCATTTTTCATTTGATAATTTTGATGAAATTATAAAATATTATAAATTTAAATAAAAATTAACCCAAGATTAAAAATAAGATTTTTAAAGAAGCTAATCAATTATATAATTTCTTAAGAAAGTTTTCAAATGAATAATATTGTAATTAAAATAACAGACATTTATAAATTAACTTTTTATTCTTCAATTATGATGTAAAATAATTAAATTCAGATTGAAAATTTTAGTATTTAAGAATTATACTCTTTAAATAAATAAAGCCATAAATTATATAACAAAAGATTAAATTATATTAAGTTGGATATTATATTAACTAATTATTTAAATTTGGAATCTAAAATTTAGCATTTAACCAAGAATCTAGGCAAAGATTTTTACATTATTATCGTAGGTTTTTTTGAATATGACTGAAGGTTGACTATAGAAGAAATCACACAACTTGCAATATCAGAATATCTGAAACTTATCATATTTCACATCCAAGTTTTTGTGGTAGATACCTCTCATCGCTAATCCCATACTTAAGCCTTAAGTTTATAACGAATTTGACCGTATAAGCTATAGGGTTCTTATTAAAAATCATGGCAATTCTATAATTTCTATCCCAATCAAATAAATTTACACGTGATTCATTTACCTCTTCTACTACTGTATAAGAGTCTATTAGTTGGCTATGGAATAAAATATACGCTTCATTGCACACCACGTAATTTTCTAAAACTCCTTCCAACTTTTCCTCTATAAATGAGTTTTAATTTCAATCTATCTATAGGAGATAACAGAGGCAGCATAAAGAGTATATAGTCTTTCATCCTTTCCTTGTCAATTTCATCTAATTTTCTTTAATCTCTTTAATTATATACAATATTTCCTCCCATAGAATACTCTGTCTTGATTAATTTAAAAAGTCTCAAATAATCTATTTAATCTCTTAAAAATAATTCAAGATTGATTAAGTCATAGTTTAACAACATTTATCTATGCTTCTTCTCATTCTTTCCTATTATAAAACTTAATCTACATCTAATAGTTCTACTTACCTTTTTAAAGTTCCTATTAATCCATTCCTTTGAACATTTTATAGAACACTGTTAGTATAAGATGCTTCCTCTTGAATCTGAATTCCATTTAATATTTCTTAGTTTCACATAATCTCTTTTTTTCTTTTACATTTCAATTTTTTGGCCACACATTTATCTTAAGTTATCTTAACTAAAAAATTGGTTCTTCCCAATATAATAGTTAAATTTTGCTGTTCTAGTCATCATCATATCCAAAATACTTTATGATATAGCAAAGATTTTATTCTCTATATGAATTCTTGTTAAAATCTCTCTGATCTTTGATATTTAAAATTATTGTTAAGTAAAGATCTGAAAAATAAAGTTATATTTAGATATTAGAATTTTATTTAGAGTAAATTTCAAGAGTTAGCAGTTAAAAAATTATTTATAATATGATTTTAAGATTAATATTAATGAAAATAAAAGGTTTAATATATAATAAAATTAACAATAATAA